CTACATCATTGATCACTTTCCTCTTTGGCCCCATAATCTTTTTGATCAGAAAATTTGGGACACTACCAAGGTACGTGACGTTACAGAGTAACTGATTTTTGACCCATCTGTCCTCCACCAATCTTCGTTCTCTTCCTCATTTTTTAAAACCAGGGATTGAACTCAGGCCCTTGCTCTTGCCAGGCAAGTGCTTATTCTACTGAGCTATCTCCCCAGCCCCGCTTCTTCACCTTTGTACATGACAGAAGTACCTATTTGCTCAAGGCAAGGAAAGACTTGCGATCTCCACAGACTTCTCTCTTCCATGTTTCACATCCAGTCTGTCTGGAAGTCCTGCTGGCTCTCCCACTAGTCTGTACCCTGACCCAACCACCTGCCCTGTTTCCTGGGCTGTACCATCGTCCACTCCTAAGCCTCCTCACACTGGGACTGCTGCCCCGACCTCCTAGTCAGACTTCTTCCCCTTCAGCCTCACCTCTCCTGCTCCTTCTAAGGTACAAATCAGATTCACTTTCTGCTTAAACCCGGGCACTGAAACTGGATGTAAGTCGAGCCTCTTAGTTGAAGCTTCAAGGCTTCTGCCCCTGTCCCCTGTCTGCCTCCTTCTGTGGTCCCGTTGGCCGCTGGCAGGAGCTACACAGACCTCTCCCAGGCTTTCCTTTCATGTGGCCTTTGCGCTTGCTGTTTCTCTCCCCAAACCACACTTCACTCTGATCCTTAGCATGTTCCAGGATCTGCAGTCACCCAGGACACAGGTGTACCCTGTGTTGCATGTCCCTTAACCCTGATGCCCCGCTAGAATAGAACAGGGGCTCTTGTCTATCTTGTTTGAAGCTGTATCCCTGAGTCTTGTGCTTGGCTACATGAATGCAAGCATACCCGAGCGAGTTGCCATTTGTGACCTCTAGATTCTCTGCCATTAGCCATGGTAGCCATGAAAAACAAGGGCTATTTTCTCCTAAACGTCTGTGCCAAATTATCATAAGAACAGATCTCAGAACACACTGTGCTGTCCAAAAAATGCCTAGAAAACAGACCTTTATTATCACGCAACCACAAAGCTGGTTTGTGTACTTCACTCCGTAAAATCAGTGAAGGCCTGATTCTGTGACCTGTTAGGAGCTCTGTCACCCTGAAGGAAAGGTCTGCTCAAGGAAAACAACATTCTAGACGCAGGATTCCTCAGGGCTGAGTCCTGGCCACATCTGATGGACAAACCCTTGGTGCATTTAGCCTGCGCACTGCCTCCGAGCAGAGAGAAGCTGCCTCCCCAGAGTCTTTTACTCTGAAGAAGGAATAGACAGTGTCTACACTGTATTTTAGCCAGTCTATGTACCTTGGACACTATTAACTTCACCGCAGAGCTCATGACTAATACCTGCTATATTGATTAACATACAGAAGATCTCTCTGGTGCACTCATGTTAACCAGGACAGCAGAGTAGATTGAGACACAGAGAGGTCTGGGATACGTATCATGCAAAGCTGTGCGTGTTTCAGCTGAACTCTCAGGTTCATGGGGCTCGAGTTGGTAACCCGAAGTTAGGTGGTGAAAGGTCCGCTCTGTGGAAATCTTTGCTATCTCTTCCGCACCTGAGTAGTTCTGCAATTCTCAGCATGCAGGTGGAGTGCTGAGTAAACGACCTCTCCGGGTGTGGCTTTCTGATAAAATGTCGACAGACTGCCTCACTTTCCTGGCTGCTGGTGCACAGCGACGCTGAATCCTGGCTCCAGTTTACAAATTACCCGGGAACAGGAACGTAATACTGACTTTCAGGTCTCTGTTGGTAAGATTCCAACTGGACTGCGACTAGAGTACCAGGATACACTTTGCAGTTTTTGAGACAGGGTTGCACTGTATATTCCAGGCTGTCCTTGAACTCTTTAAGCAGCCTAGGCTGTCCTTGAACTCATGGCAATCCTCCTGCCTCAAACCTCTTGAGTGCTGAGATTATAGATGTATATCACCATGCTTGGATTTTTTTCTTTTTAGGGTACTAAGGATTAAAGCTAGGAACTTCACACTGAGCCACCTCTCCAGTCCTTTATTATTATTATTATTATTACTACTACTACTACTACTATTATTATTATGAGATAGGGTCTCACTATACTATGTACCTTAAGTTGGGTTTGGACACCCACTGTGTAGCCCAGGCTGGCCTTGAACCTACAGTTATCCTTCCGCCTCAGCCTCCTGAGTGCTGGAATGCGCCATAACATCCGAGCTAAATTTTTTATTTTGAGATAGGGTCTTGCTAAATGGCTCAGGCTGGCCTTGTGGTCCTGTTGCCTCAGGCTTCTGGTTGCTGAGATTACAGGTATGTGCCATCACATTTGGCTTAAGATACACTTAAAGTTCACCAGGTGATTCTAACCTTCCATTTGTCACACTATTTGGAATATTCTAACAACCCCGCAAAAAGTTACTGGATTGCTATCTGTTGCCCAAAGCCCCTGGGAAAAGAAGGGACAAGTGGACAATGCAACCATTTGTTCAAAGTTTCTGCAAACATGGCTCAGGACAGTGCCTTGCATTTGGGGGAAGGAGCCCTGTGCCAGCCCGGAAAAGCTCCATCTTCCTCATCAGGGATGCCTTCCCCTGAGCCCTCAGGACATCTTACAAGTGAATTGCTGAGTGTCTGCTCAGAAGGCATGTGTCACGCCAAGGGCAGGCATGGGAAGGCCAGAGAAAAGGCAACAGGCAGAAAAACCCCACCAGCTGGGCCAGGAAGCCTAATTCAGAGTGGGAAGGCGGTTAGGAGGCTCACTGGGGAGAGTATAGGGAGAGGTGAGCTCTCCAGGTATGGGGCCAGAAATCAGCAGCCAAAGTGCAAGCAGGGCAGGCTCTGCCTCTTCTCCCTTACTCTTCTTCCTCAAAGGGCCGAAACGACAAATTTTCAGCATGGTGCTAATCATAGGCAGGAATGAAACTCCTGATCTGAGAGGTACCTGGGACGAGTTCATGTTCTCTAAAACTGAAGAATGAATTTTCGGAGCAGAGGTTAAGAGCACAATATTTATTGGGGGAAAGAAAGCTTCTGTCTGAGAGAGGGACAGAAGGGGACCCTTACGGGTTACGCCGGGAATCTGCCATTCCTTGGGACTTTTATAGAGCAAAACCATGTGGTGAGACGGGTCTAAGGTGGAGAACATAGGAACTTACATAAGTGGGCATGAGGTGGAACAAAATAACAAGGACCGGCCAAATAGCTCAGCAGATTAAAGTGCCTGCAAGCAGGTAGAGGGTCCTGGGGTTCAATCCCCACCCCTTGCCATGCTGGCCCTGCGGGGGGCAGTGCTGAGATGAGAATGGGCATAGTGGCGTGTGCCTATAATTGTAGCTCTTAGGAGGCTGCAAACAGGCGGATAACTTCCAGTCTGATCTAGTAGTGAGACCCTGAACACCCTGTAGACCCTTCCCTAAAAATATAAAAAACAAAAACAAACAAACAAACAAAAAACTATGGTTAACCAATGTGATTATAAGCACCATTGCTCGGGTAAAATTGATTAAATCCTGGACCAAATGAGGAAGTGAGTCATATAGTAAGCGGGCATGAATATAGAACAGGAGTTTATCTGGCAGCCAGTATGGATGGAATAGTGACTCTTTCTGGCTTCCTCAAGGTGATCAATACCAGATGCTTATCTTTAGCGAGGCAGGCCCTTGCTGGATCTTTGGTCTTTAGGTCTGGCCCACAGTAGGAGCATGCATCTCTCACAGCTGCAAGGTATTTTGTCTTCCACACTGTCTCCTTGAGGGCCTGGCCCTGTCTGACTGCCTATAATATTTTTCTCTAATTCAGCTGCCTACAACACTAAAACGTCTTCTTAGATAAAACCAATCATTTACTGGAAGGTAACATGCATTAGCCTTTGCTAGTCGTTGGCTATCTCACCCTTGTAGGACTCTCCTGCGTGTACCAGGAAAAGTTTCCTTTTTGCCCTAACTGGCAGGGCATGCCCCACTTTCCCCCTGGGACAGAGCCTGGGGCCAGGCTAACCTAATCTGTCTCTTCCTGTCTGTGCTTAAGCAGGACAGGAGACTGAAGAAGCTGCCCTTCCCAGAGTCACCACCAGGTTCCCCACCCAGCACGGTTCCAACTCATGACCTCCGGACCATGCATTTAATTATCAAATGCCACAAACAGATGGATTGCCTGCCTCCCAAGCCCAGCTAGGCCTCAGGGACTGGAAAACAATGAGTGAAGCTAGGACCAGCCAGTTGGGAAGACAGACTCCCAGTCACCTCTGAAGCCACACAGAAGAGAGGCCAGGCTGGAAGAGACCCCGTCACAACCGTTGTTGTGGAAAGCCGGGACCTGAGCCAGGGACTGAGGTTGGGCGTGGGGGAGGGATTCTCTGGCGGAAGAAGCCCTGGGGGCAGGGCTGGACCAGGCATTCAAGAGGGGGACTTCCAGGGTCAGTAGGGGAAGCCCTGGTCAGCGCAGGCTTGTCCAAGGAGACTGAGGCTCCCTAGGGACCGCCAGCCTCCAGCCTGGACAGCTACACCTTCCTGGATGCAGGACTGGCCCGTCCTCAGGCTGGCAATCCACTTAAGTTATTCCACTCACGTCTTGCACTTACTTGCACCTTTAGTACGTAGGCGATTAAGTCTGGCGACTCTCCTTAGTCTTTGGACAACAATGGAAAGCCCGCTCCTTTTTCTTTTTCTTTCTCCCTCGCCCCAGCAGTGAGGGTGGAGCCTGGGTCCTAGGCAAGCGCTGCACCACCGAGCTACAGCCAGGTACCCGGGTCAGGCAACGCTCTTTCCTAGCGCACCTCCGCTCCTCGTTCTCCCAAGCCTCTCTCCGCACCTGGAGCGCTGGCAGCTTCAGGGACTCAGCCAGAGCTGCTCGGTACGACTCGCCCCCTCCCCTGGCTCGGTCGCCTCTCGGGTCCGGAGCCGCAGCCCCGCCCCTCCCGGCCCCTCCCCCTCCCGCAGCCGGCCCCGCTGCCTCGTTCCCATTGGCCGCCCGGGCTGTAGGCTCCCGGGCGGGGCAGTGATTGCCGGCGGCCCGCGTCAGTCCGGGCCGGGGCTCTGGCGGCGGGGCGCTCCGCCGGCGCTCTCAGGTGGGGCCTCGGCCAGGATGCCCCGCGGGGACTCGGAGCAGGTGCGCTACTGCGCGCGCATCTCCTACCTCTGGCTCAAGTTCTCGCTCATCATCTACTCCACGGTGTTTTGGGTGAGTGACCCCAGTAAGGCCTGAGGACGGGGTTGCGGGGTGGGACACGGTCCCTTTGCCGTGTCCGGGACCAGATTAGACTTAGCCGCTTTCCAGAGGACGCGGGGCACCCGCCGGCTTTCCTAGGGAAATTCTGGCGGTCCCTGCTCAACTTGAATTTCATCTGTGTCGTCTGGAGGGTTAAGAGTCTGGTGCCCACCGAGTGCCACGTAGCACACCTGTGTGCACCCGGTGGGGTTTTAGCCCCCGCGCGGTGCCTAGTGGACGGGCTGGCAGTAGTTACTGTGTTGGCCGCACCCCCGGCCTACAGGTTGTTGCTGAGTTTGCTTCCCTGCCAGCCAGCAGAGGGACAGCCTGGCTTTGTGATGGGGATTGCCTGGTTCCCGGCCTGGACCCGCCACGACTTGCCCATCTCTGGACAAGATGCTCCCCCTCTGATTCTTCGTTTCCTCTTTAGTAGAAGAAGGATGCTCGTGCTTTCTTCATAGAGTGGAGGATTCCACTCAACCATGTGGCCACTCCTAGGTGTTCAGTTACGATTTCCGCTATTACTGGGCTCTCTCCTCTCCTCCCTTGTTGGGGAAGGGGATGCTAGCAGTTGGACTTGAATGAACTGGGCTTGGAATCTTGCGGCTGCCACCTTCTCACCTGGTGATCTTGGAAAAGTTCTTTGATGTTTCTGGGCTACACTTTTCATAACTGCAAATGGAGACAACAGTTATTTTCACATTTTAAGGTGCAAGTGGAGATTAAATAATTTGGCTGCGTACAGTGCTTACTTAGCACGGGGTCCAGGGCAGGCCTCAAGAAGTTTGTGCCGCGGTGTTATGGGTGGGGACTCTAGTCCTATGCAGTGTAAGCAGCCCCAAGAGACTGGGTTTCTGTAGGGGCATTTTAGACTCCTTGGCCTTAGTCTAGGAATGACGACATCTTTCTGCAGGCCAGCCCCACCCCTTGTACCTCAGGAGTAGCCCTCTGCCCAGTGTGCTGCAAGGGTGGGTTTCCAGAGGCTCCTAGGGTGTCAGTGACAGCCCGTGTCCTCTGAAACACACACACACACACACACACACACACACACACACACACACAGAGTCCTGGTTTCCTCCTCCACCCCCAGTGGGTCTCTCCTGGTGCCCAGAGCAGCTGAGTTTCCCAAGGGATTGCTCTTGGATGGATCCCTTCGTGGGCATGCCCCTGGCTAGTGGTCAGGAAATCTTGATTCTGGACCTACTTTCTTACTGAACCACTGTGCTGTCTTAGCTAAGTCCTGACTCTCTGGGCCTCAGAACTGGTAGGTGATTTTTCTGCCTAGAACACTCTAGTGAGCTCCCAATCCAACTCTCTACCTCTGGGTACTGTGAAATAGAGATGAGCAATAGATCCGAGCACTGGAGGATGGCAGGGACCCATAGCAGAGGTTGCAGGGAGGCCAGAGTTTGTTCTGTATATGGCACTTGGAGCTATGACTTAGTGCTTCTCATGAAAGACTGCATAAGAACCAGAGAGTTTTAAAAAACACTACAGATTCCTGCGCCTTGGCATAAGTATTTGTTCAAATTTACTTAAGGTCCCCAGGTAATTCTAGTATGCAAGCAAGATTAAAAACTGCTGCCTGAGATGGTCTCATTGGTCCCCAGGGATTTTTTGCTTGTCCTGTGTGGCTTGTGATGTCTCCTCTCAGGGGTCAGATTTGAAAACACAGGTGGAGGCTGTTGGGCGGAAGGCAGCTGTTCCACTTGAGGCCGCCCCTCTTCCCGTGGTTGCGGTGCTGGCACGTCTCTTCACTTTCCCGCACCTCCACCTCCTCATCTGTGAAAAGGTGATACCTGCCCTGCACCTCACCAGAGTGCTTCTTAGGACTGATGACATGACAAGAGAATGAACGAGAAGTTTCATTCACAGGTTAATTCTGCAGTTAGATAAAACCAAACTCGAATTTCCAAAGCCCTGTGCTCTCACTGTCTTTTGTAGGCTCCAAAGAAACCCAGCTCTTGGCTCTTGCTTTGCTTCCTTTGGGGGCAGAGCAGGACTCAGAACTTGGAATCTTTCCTCTGATTCTGTCAGCTGAGGTAGCTTCATCCCATCCCTGGGAGCATTTCTGCTTCAACATCTCCCCATCTGTGCCAAGAACTCAGCCACCTTGCCAGGGAAGCTGCAGGTGCCATGGTATGGCTGCAGGGCAGAGGTTTTGTGTGACTTAAGTAATTTGTTCTGCACCAGGTTCACTGTTAATTGGAAACCATTTCAGGGATTCCCTTTCTCTTGGAGTTATACAGTATGCAGGGAAGACTTCCACCTCTGCCTTAGGTTTGGAGGGGCTGTGAGACTGAGCATAGGCAGGTACCTTCTGTGAGGCTTTCCTTGCAAAATTAGTATTGATAGGACATGCATGCACAGAGCACACGCCATAGAAGTGGAAAAGGGTTGGAGATGACCCCCCTCTGCTTTCCACGTCCAGAAGGGCTTCTGCTACAATTTCTTGTGATCCTTTCCTAAGATAACCTAAGCCAGGGATGCCCTGGGCAGTCATGTATATAGAGTATGTATTTTTTTTTTTTCACTGTGTACACATCTGTTTAGTCCCCTTTTCACTTAAACTTAAATCCTTATAAAATTTGGAGATCTGCCAGGGACTGCCTCCTCTGGTTTGATGACTATGTAGTCTTCATTCTATACTGTGCCAATCTCACTTAATTCTAGACTATGCCTGCCTCATCGGGCTTGATTCAGACTTCAGTGTTGATTCAGGCTTCATCCTAGACTATGCCAAAATTCATTTAATCTAGCTCCAGCTAGAGAGTTCTGAGGTTTACTCTGATCTTTTGCTCCTGCTGGTGATACAGTGGGTTTCTTTTTGTCATTTTGCTTATATGTGTGTCTCTGTAGGTATGTTGTAGGGGTGGAATTGTTGGGTTAAAGGTTATAGAACCTAATACAGGAATGCATCCAACATCAGCATGTGTGGCTCTGTGAGGTTTTAGAAGCCCCCAGGTCACCCAGTGGAATGGAGAGTGCAAGCTGAAAGTCCCCTCCTGCACTGTACAGTCCCCACCCCTTCCTAGTAGGAAGAACATCTAGCAGCATAGAATAGTGTTGCTTGTTTTTGCATAGACATTTTACTTTTTTAAATTTTTATTTATTTATTTTTATTTTAGGGAAGGGACTACAGGGTGATCAGGGTCTCACTAGTAGATCGGATTTATAGTGTTCCGACTGTTTGCAGCCTCCCAAGAGCTGGGATTACATGTGTGTGCCACCACGCCCAGTCTCAATCCCAGTCTCAGTGCACCCCAGGGGTGGGAGGGGTGGGGAGAGGGGGAACTGCATGGCAGAACCTGGAGATTGAACCCCCAGCCCCTGTGCCTGCTTGCAGGTGCTTTAAGCTGCTGAACTATTTGGCCGGCTCTTCAACGTTTTAACTATTATTTTGTACCCAGGGCCTGGGTACCATGTGAGGCACATGGTCTGCCACTGAGCCACATCCTGATGCTGAAGTTTTGATGTGACATCACATATAGAAGTGATGCATGCTGTAACATGTACTGTTAATTTCTTTCTTTCTTTCTTTCTTCCTTCCTTCCTTCCTCCTCCTCTTCCTCCTTCTTGTTCTCCCCCCCCCCCATATTATAGGCATGTACCACCCATGGCCAGTTTAATGTATTTCTTAAACTGACTTAATTCTCAAATTTAGAATGATTTTTGAAAAGGAAGTGTTCTACCACTCCTACCAATGGGAAGCCAGTACCTCTAATCATAAAGAGCAGATAACCATTCGAGTAATAAAGTACAGGGAAGACAAGACAATAGTAGGATTCCTAGCGAGATATGGGTGCAGGTTTATGACCCTCTGCTAGTGCCCACCCTCTGCTTAGAGATAAACTGGCACTAAGACAAACTCCTTCATGCCGTCGGAGGGTCAGAAGAGCATTGAATAAAGGAAGTACAGTCTGCAACTGAATAGGAATAAAATGACATTCAGGCCCTCAGCAGCCTGGCCTGGCCCCTGCTCTCCTCACTGGGTACTCCTGGCTCCTTCCTGGACACCCCTGAGCGCTCTCCATGTGGAATGCCCCAGCAGAAGCACTCAGCCCTTGCTTCCCACCTGTTGGCGAAGCATTCTGACACACACGTCCTCACACTGCAGGGCACGCACTTCTAATTTTAGCACTGCTCAGGGTATCCTAGAGATCCATTTACACAGCTACTTTTTCCTTCTGGACTCTGCGTTCCTGGAGGTCAGGGTGCGGCGCCTCTGTGTTTTTTGATTGCTGGGCTTGGGCTTGGGCACATAGATACTCAGGGAGGGCCTGTTGCCTGAGGGTGATCCAATCTTGGGATCCAGCCTGCAGCAGAAGCTGAGCTGGGAGTGTGACTAGCGATCAGGTTTGACGAGGCCTTGAATTTGCACAGAGGGCTGGGCTGAGCTGGCAGCCAGTAGCTCTTTAGAAAGCATGGAGTCTGCACTGTGCCCAAAGGGAAAGGGTTTCCAGTGAATCAGGGAGTCAGGGTGGGGATATTGACCAGCTTGCTTAGCAGGAGTCGGGGGAGATGATGAATGCGAGAGAAATATGAACTCTTTCTCATCTTTCCCCAAAGAGGGACCTGGTTATCAGAGAATGGCTTTTGTATCTTTGCATTTCTGTGTTGTTTAATGGTCAGAGCGTGGACTCTGTACCAAGCTCCCTGGGCTCAAATCCCGACTGTAGCACTCAGGAGCTAAGTGACTTACCATGACCATGTACTACCTTTGCCTTATCTTTGGAATGGATATTAGGGCACACCTGGAGTTGCTCGGAAGGTTGAGTAGATTAGCAGGGAGCTCAGAGCCTGGCACTGGCCACCACTCAAGGATCACTCTACTCCTTACGGGTCAGCTGTTCTAATGCGTTTCTGTCCACACCGCAGACGGAGAGCGAGAAGGGCCATTAATGGAAGGTGGGCACTGGGAACCCAAGACTCTGGGAGGCCGAGGCAAGAGGGGTGCAAGTTCCAGCCCAGGC